GAGATGCACCGGATCAACCGTGATTACTGTTCGTCATGTTTATTTGAACTTCTGTGCAAATTTTCAGCAAAATCGGTGATAATTTAGGGGTGCTTTAAGTTAATTTTATGTTTTTAATGTAATTTACGGCTAATAATATTTGTCTACCGAGACTGAAACAACTAAAACTGCTGTAACAACTTTCATAGCAAAGCTTAATGTGTTATCTACCAACTAGGTGACCAAAGGTTGACTATTCAAAGTAATTTTATTGAAGTTTGACTTAGTTTCATGATCGAACATATCTTAAAAAGTGAAGAATTTTAAAGTATTTGTTCTACGTACTTTCTACCCATATGATATAAAAATGTGTAGTCTACTTATAATGTTCCTTATACTGTTCTAGAAATTTCGTTGTAACATAGTTTTCGTGTAGATTCCATGGATTGAGAGATAAAAATCAGAAAAGAGGCCGATTTAGCTAAAATTCACAAGACAACAGAGCCAATAAAAGTTTCAATTAGATTGACAGAACATAGTTGCATTGCTTTTCAATGACGACCGAGGACTGTTTCATTGATAGATGATTTTTTAGAAATATTAATCCTCAGTAGACGTGTTTTTTTATCAAAGGCGTTTTGACAGGTTTTACTAGCAAATAACATTTAGGAATCATATGAAATAGAATCATAAAGTATTTTAGTATTAAGCATTTAGTACGTGTAATGCTTGCTGTAGAACCGATCCACGCCATCCAAAATGTTCGTTATTTTATAAATTGCTGTTATGGCTAACAGCAATTTATAAAATAACGAACATTTTGGATGGCGTGGATCGGTTCTACAGCAAGCATTACACGTACTAAATGCTTAATACTAAAATACTTTATGATTCTATTTCATATGATTCCTAAATGTTATTTGCTAGTAAAACCTGTCAAAACGTTAACTTGTACGTTACGGTACAAACGGGATATCTTTAATAATGCGGGTAACTTTGATAGTATAATATAAAGATTAAATTTAGTCGCTGCGCTTTTTCCAAACTAGGAATAGTGGTTCGATATTGTAGCTTAGGGCATTTCCGTTGATACGGTATACAGTTTTTATATAGTATTACATATATAGTGTTACATATTTTACAAACATATTAAAAAACAATTTTCATGTTTTCGCACTCAAATCATCACTTATGAAATGTATTTCCTATATAGCCATCACAAATTCAAAGTGGTATTCTTATTGCTTATGACAGTTTCTGATTATATACTCATTCAAAGTTTCATATTTAAAGAACTACATTGTTTGAGTTCCACCCATTTTTTCTACATTCATCGAGCATTATCAAAGTAACCCCAAATCAAAAAACTGAAGTTCGGTCACAAAACTAAAAAAAAAAAGTGCAAATGCTTTAATTTTCGTTAAACATATTACTAACGAATTGACTCTTGGATCCTCAGTACTTGTTTTAAAAATATAAAATTTGAAAAACATTCATTGCCGTCAAATTATTTAGAATATACTTTAAAAAAAACTATCAATGTTACCCCGTTTTATGGTGCTCATATTGCCCCGTATGGTTGTTGATCGGAGCACAAACATAAACTTTTCAAACATATTAATTTAATTAGTATATCATACTTTTTCCATATTTTCCACATTGTATATTAGCGGCGCCGGTGGTGTCGTGGTAAGCGTGATTGCCTCTCATTCCAGTCGGCGCCGCTGAGATTTTCTGAGGCATAACATTTCTGATCGCGCCTTCTTTCGGCGAGGGAAGTAAAGTCGTTGGTCCCCGGTTCATGAGTTGATGGGTCGATAGATAGGATCCAGGTGTGGGAGCTGCCTTCCTGGCGTCGGTAGCATTGGTGCTCAGCACAAAAAACAAGATCGACGGAAAAAAATTAAGGAAAAAATGTATTCCAAAGCATGAGTTGATCACAGCTATCACACATTCATGAATGTTTTTCATGTTTTCTGATGTGTTTTTCTTAGGGGGACCATATTGCCCGTACTATCATATCGGTCTGAGCTGGAGACAATTACGTGGGTTGAGTTTTTCGAAATAAACCAAATCCCGTAGGTTTCATACCACTGTAGCACCGTTTTACTGTAATGACAGCTCGCAAGATCTGGCCAAAACATGACAGGTTGCTTGTGGAATCCGATGACTGGCAATATTCGCTTTTGGAGATATTCCGTCCTGTAAAGCTCTGAATTGAATGCCTTATCCGGGATGAAAACCTTTGTCTTCCTATCGTAGCTACAGATGCCCAACCATATCATGTGTTTGCGTGCAAAATTTATCTGCAATTTATCACACAAACACAGACAAACAGACATAACTCTTCCAGTCACATTCATCGCAAATAATGTTTTAGTTGGGAATGTGCTTGCATTTGTCATGGTGGCGCCACTGAAGCATTGAGCAAGCCACCACAAGTGATGCATTACCTCGTTTAAAAACTTTTTTCCTGCAAAAGAAAAGGCACACTAAGCAAACAAAACAAATCCCTAAAAAAAAGTCTTAGATTCTGAGAATTTTTCCTACGGATCCGTATTTCTGCAAAATTCAATCAATTCTATAGATCTTCTGAAAAATTCATATAACCGACATCACTGACTTCCATCTGTTTTGTTTTTATTCAACACAGCTGACGCGTTGACAGAACGAGGGAAAATCAACTAGTGAAAAAATTACATGCACGAGGGATGATCCGGTTGCAAAACATTGCTTGGGAATGTGGATGATAGATGGTGCTAGTGCGCATGCAAAATACGCTTGACGATATTTTTTGAAGAATTTTCTTCTAAGAGTTATGTCTGTTTGTCTGTGACACAAACTTGAATTTGGCACGAACATCTCCCCGAGCCGTAGCCAAGTCGAATTTTTGTCCCGGTAGCTGTTCGAAATCGGCCTTCACGTAGGTTTCATCACTGATGAGGAGACAGCCCTTGAATTTGGTCAACACCTGATATCATGCCTCATCATCTGGCACGGATTTGGGCCACATTGTTTTGCTTTTGATCCCTATTTGGTTGTCTGCAGTCACGGTATGACATGAAGCCTTCCCGTTGCACGGTACTGCGGCCGTCACTGAACTTTTTCACCAAATCGCGATTCGAGATGTTTGGGTTAGACTTAATGGTCTTGATGACATTATTCCGCAGTTCATGGTTGACAGTACCCGTCCCACGCTTGCTTTGTGGATAGCGATCCGTCGAAATGGTTTCTCTGTACACGCCACACGGTATTTCTGTGAAAACCTAACACTTTTGCAAGCTTAGGTCCAGACCACGAAGGGTTTTCAAAATGACTGCGCAGAATTATTTTCATCATATTTCAAACCTCCTTCTCCCTCTCCCCATCCATGAAACTGTAAATCTCCACTAACCTCGAGACGAAGGCGAGTACTCGTTTCAATTCCTTAAACTTTAGATTTAAGACATTAATAATGTATAACGCAAAGGATAATTTGGCTCTGAAAAGTTTACTCGATTGAGCCTGTACAAATAAAATTAAAAAAAAATATTCTCTTTCTTTCTTCTTCCATGTTGTTAAAGCACGTTCGAAGTGCGCTGCGAAAACTCTTCTGATGTTATTATTGTTAAAGGGAACAGATAGAAATTAAAAAGTTTCCAAATCCGACCACTAGGGTCGCTGTAAGAATCAAAAATGATTTTTTTCCAATAGTAGAATCCAAGTGCAACTTATGCGTAACTAGTGGCGGGAAATAGTACTAGTCGATGGTGATACATTTACGACAGCCGGTTCAAATACCAGAGTTTAAATGAGAAATTATTGACTTTTTTTTTATGCACCGATATTATTTAGGTTATATTTTGTATGACTACAGATTCCCATCCCGAAATCGACGTCCGAGTCAGTCTGCTGGATATACTGGATTAGGTTGGGACTCCGGGATTTAGAGACCTAGCACATTGTGTGACTGGACTATACCAGTAGATCAGCAGCAAAATAAGAATTGAGGGAAATGGGTTACATGCGGCCACATGAAATTCATCTCAAATTACCCCACGACAACAAAATTTGGGACTAAGATTCAGCAAAGTCTGCTGAAACCAAATCATGGGAGTATATTCGCTCTTTCCCTGTTCTATAAACAGTAGTAACCTTTCTCCACTGCGCAAAATTGTTGCTCCCCGAGTTCGGAACCCGAAAAAGTGGAAATTTTTTCTCGTTGTATCCCGGGTTAATCCAACGATCCTGCAACAACAAAGTTAAATTTATGTGGTGTAGCTTGCGTTTACGTAGTCTAAAAATCAACTTATGTTTTTCCTGATTGCAAGCAACAATATTATGAAAATCACTTACCATTTCATAGAAGACCACTTTTCCTATAATTTGATGAGCTTTTTGATCACCAAAACGTACAGAAAAAGGCGAATTTCCAATTTCAAAAGTGAAAATTCTGATGCAAGTCGCGTTTGACAGCTGTTTACATTTTTTTATCACCGCTACGACAACAGCGTCACGGGTGGCCGGTGACTGGTTGAATTTCACTAAACCAAAAAAAAATAAGGAAATTCTATAATCCAATCATATTAGAGTAAGTTTCGCAATCCATTTATTTTAATTAGCATTCATTTCTGGAATGTTTAAAGATACTGATAATTCTGAACTCTATAAAAAAAAATCAGGACTACAACAAACAATAATTTACGAAATGTTTAATCAGCGCTACAAATTATAAATGCATGCACCAATCTAATTTGATTGCCCCGCCCAACATCAACGACGTCCTCCTTCTTATCATTTTATCAAAATTAATCATCCTTCAGAAGTACCGTTTATTCCAGTGGACCAGTCGCGCATCAATGTATTGCTGCTTACACTACTAATTTGTGTTCGACCTGCACACTATCTATTCGAATACGATTATCAGTAGTTCACCATGCAGCACTAGTGTGTTCGTTTGCCGAGTTGACGATCGGCTCGCTTATAAAATGCCGCTTTAATGTTACCCAACCTTAATCGAAGAATCCAGTTGAGAAGTGCTCGTGCAACAAAACAGACGTAGCCCGGCAATACTACCGGTGTTTCTAATATTCCATACCCTTCACTTGATTTGAATATTGTTCGTTCAATAGAACAAAAAGTGCAGTGCTTGTCTTCATTGTCAGCAATCAGTGAAGCGTTGAAATTCAAAGTGTTTGTGCTGCTGTGAAGGAATCTGTAAATCCCGTCAGTTGCTAGTGAAAGACTGCTGCACTTGTGTGCCTTGTAGATCGAGCGTGGTTTTTGATCCAACGGCGGCTTGTTTGTATTTAGCATTGCATTGTGTTGTTACGGTTTACTAGCGCACCGATTGGAAAGTTTTATTTTCTGTTAAATATTAAATAGTCGCGACTAAACAAGCGAGCTGAGAAAAAGGTGTACGCCGCTTGATTTTATTTATTTTACGTGAAGCAAATCGAGGAGGCAAAGTATACACAAAATGTCGAACACTTGGGGATACACTGAACTGAATGGTAAGTAGGCTCAGAATTAATGCAAATCTGGTCGATTAGGACAATTGTATAAAAAATGATGTAACTAAATAGAAAAGTTGCAGGAAAGGAGATGCGTAGCTTCGTGTGCCACGTAATATTGATGTGTTGAAAAAATTACAATATTTAAATTATAGAGCGAGTTGAGGCTTCAATATATAATTTTACTGTACCTATCATGGCGACCGAATGGCGTACGACCGAGCGACGCTTCTCAGTAACGATGTTAATTATCGAGTCAAAACTACAAGTAACATTTGTTTGCATCAACGCAGTTGCAATGCCGATGATGGAAGTGGTGAAAAATACCGGTGAAAAACTCGTTTTGATTGAATCGGATGCGTTTACGCTTCGGTGGTTTCAGATTATTTCTAATCGAACCACATCTTTTAGGTGGCAAATATTGTAAACAATTATGCAACAACTTATCCGCGCTGGCATGCGGGGTTGAATTGAATTTACATAAGCATTTCTTCAAAAGGTTTTAATTACTTTTTTCATTAAGATTTGGAAGAATCAGAACAACAAGGTCATCTGAATTTGTTGATTTTAAGGCAATTTTGATTGTCGTTTTCTCGTAAATAATTAATCACACGTGACTCCTGAATTACGTCGGTGCCTGAAAAATATTTTTCTTGTGATTGATTAGCCAGCGTCAGTCAGGAGCTAATCAATCAAAATAGAATCTGTTTCAATTATTTCTGATTTGCAATGACCATTCGATAACAGAGCTTATTTTTCCATGCCCGAGTGAAGAACTGTCAAGAGATGGGGCCATACTACTGATTAGTACTCAATCGAATGAAATTGTCGATAGCGCACTCTTGACGAAGGGTATCATTTCACTGTTCGCATTATCGAATCAAACACTTGCGGTTTGCATCGGGGACCTGATTTGAGGTTGCTGACGCTTTCGACGACGACGGCCATCATCTCAGGCACCCGTTATACGATCTCATTGTCACAAAGTGACAAGTGGACTTCATCAGTTTCATGCCAACTCGTACGCACCCAAGTAACACCTTATCTAGGAAAGTAACTACTTTCATTGAAGTACCTAGGATGTGGAGAGCTTAGCTGAGCTGGCTTCCATCGATAATTAAAGGGATTAGTGCAAGGCTTAGCAGTAGCCAGTTTAGAAATGTGCTGTCACTGATAAAGGCCATGCGCTTGAGAGCAGAACCAGTCAGATGACCGGAACGTGTGTGGGAGGTTCAATTTGCACTTGTTTACATTCTGGCACTCTGCCGTCGGGATGGAGTTGGTGCTTATTAGCCAATTGAAACAATTTAAGCTCGTTGATCCAGGCCCTTACTGAGCTTGTGGTTTTAAGCTGTGATAAGCATCAGATCAGTGTGAAAAGACTGAGCATTACTTGAAAGACAGTTTAACTGCAGGGTGTGGTCCATTTGTTATAAACTGTGCCAAGAGTGACACGGTGACACTTTAAATAATTGGCATAGATCGTTCAAATAAGCTTATGAAACTCCACCCAAATAATATCAAATATTTCCATTTTAATTCGTACTTACTTAGAAATGTTTTCTGAGTTCTGTCAAATTTTAATGAAATCTCACACAACAATATTAATATATAGACACTCCCGATCATAAGTTTAAGGGCACCCCCAAAACAACATGACAAATTTGTTATGTTCATATCTCTGTCATGTTACGACCAATTTTCGTTCTCTTTAGATCATTTGTATTGTATGTATTGAATGGAACTTTCCTCGTATGCAAATTATTCAAAATAATTTTCAAATTTTGTGTGCTATAAAAGTTCACCCAAAGTTACAATATTTTTCAAAATTTACTCTGAAGAATCGTGACTGATTTTCTCAGAATTGAGTTGGCCAAATTTTTAAATAAAAGTAGTAGTAGAACACTTATGCTACACCATTCATACCATTCAAATAAACTTTGGAGATCGAAAATTGAACGTAAAATGAGAGATCATTGAACAAAACATATGTGCATGGTTTTTTGGGGGTGTCCGTAAACTTATGATCGGTAGTGTATATGATCAGTTTTGAAAGGTTTTCTTAGTTCTGACATCAAACAAGTTTCAAGAATACTGTTCACAATCTAAAACCACAATACTCGTTGTATATTTTTTTTTTAAAGATTTTTAAGCACTTAAAATTAAATTCGTAAATTTATGAATGGCAAATATTTTCTAAACTACAAATAGGAAAGATTTGTATTGCCCAGCCATCTATTGATTCTAGCCCACTTATTGCATAACGGTTGTCGAAAATTTTATGTAACTTATTCCATGCTCAATCAAACTGTTGCGACATAAATGTGTTACTTTGGTAGATCTAATAACATATGTCATTTTACAAAAGGGAATCCCGATAAAAAATCCTCACGTTTAGTGTTATCAATAGCGGAGTACCCCACATCGCAAACAAACTTAACAGATGAGTTGGGCGCAATGTTCCGCAGATGTACAACTATAGATAGACTTATTTTTCTCAATGTGTAACAAGAACAACAACACAAAAAATGATAAGATATGGGGCAATATTTATGTGATTCATAAATGAGTGGTGTACAATTTTAGCACGAGACCGCGCTCACAGTCACGCAAAAGTGTGACGACTTTTTTTTATCTTAAAGATACTGTGGTGAAAACGTCGTAAAGACATAAAGTACTCGTACATCTTTTCGAATGTTTCCACCGTTTTGAGTGATATGATGTGAATGATGTTTATTACCAAAGTAATAAAGCACTGCCTAAGGTAATTTAATGATAATTCATTTCATGGTCTATATATAAAAATGTTTCTGCGCTGACATTAGATGCATTTTTTACGATGCTTTGTTGTCAGAGTGTAATCAATCAATTGAATTTTTAGCTCGATTTAACCTTGACATCTCAACAATCAATTTTAGCTGCTAACTAGCTTATACAGGCAAAAACTAGCTGTTAGAAGCCAATTTTCGACTGTATAAGCTAATCTGCAGCTAAAATTTTTAGTTGGAACCTTAACATAAAGATATAAAAGGGTGTTAAAGGGTATAATTGTTGTCCTACTAAGCACAACCCGCATTTTACCTTTCTATTTCGATCCTGATCGACTTCCAAATTGATTTACCTTTCCATACGTACCGTTTTTTTTTTTCCTTAATTTGTTTTCCGTCGATCTTGTTTTCCGTGCTGAGCACCAATGCTACCGACACCAGGGAGGAGCTCCCACACCTGGACCCTACCTATGGACCCATCGACTCATGAACCGGGACCAACGGCTTCACTTCCCTTCCGGAGGAAGGCGTGATGTTCAGAGATGTTATGCCTCAGAACATCCCGGCGGCGCCGACTGGGATTGAATCCAGGTCTGCTGGAGTGTGAGGTAATCACGGTTACCACTACACCCCCGTTGCCGCTTATACGTACCATTGGATTTGATACAGAATCGCACATTTTTGAGATATTGTTACACTGCTTCTTGGTTCCAAATTCGTCCTACGAGTTTCAATTCCGTCCAAACGTATTTAAACGCCATAGGATTTTCTTCGTCCTACGGATGAATGCAGAAAAAATGGATTCGCTCCGCTTCTTTTATTTTTGAGAACAATTATTGAAAATATTGATACAATGTGATCTAAGCAGGTTATGTTTTGTAGCTTTTGAACGTATTTTTGATTTTTGCACGGTGAAATCATTGATATTATTGATGATTTCTGCTCGATAGAACGGGAATGGACGATTACGACGACGTATCGCTCTGCCCTATCTAACTATTACACAATTTTCTTCCAACGCAACGACGTGAGAATGTCTGTGTAAGTGCATCCTCAAAAAAAAAAAAAAAACAATGAGCCCATAAATGTCACTATCGGAAACTACTGTGCAATCAACCGGTTGGACAACCGGTATGCTTACCGGCTGAGGTTTACTAGGGAAGGCAATAATGTTATTTGAGGAAATTGTAGCCCTTTCGGATGCGGAGGTGGAGGAATGATAATAACATGCTTAGTATCCAGCGTGAGGTGTAGTAGATTACAATGGAATGCTGTGATTATCTGCTGAATGTTTTATTGAGAGTGGATACCAACTATGAGTAGCTAACTTTGATAATCATCAAAAATGATAGAACATGAGTACGTAAAATTGGGCATTGTTTGACGGGAATCGATTACGGAAGCCAGATTCTATTGAATTCTACCCAATAATTAATCTTAACTATTTGTTTCATTATGATCGGAATGTGCGGTATAGATTGTATTGTTTAATCTTTAATTGAGCCACAAACAAAAACACCTACTACCTTAATGATAAATTTAGATTGGAATGTATCAGAGAAGAGGTTTTTCTTAACAGAGGCTCGGTGCGCTGATTATCTTTGAGTGTAAATACAACAAAAGCGATAATCAATGAAACGTGGGAAGTACGATGTTAAAAAATATTGGCACACTTATACCGATTTTTTTTTTCAATCAGTTCCAATCTGGATCGGGTATCGAGATTTGATTGGCCTGTTTTCTAACAAACGTCAGTTTGATCGTTTGTTTCTTAAACCTACCTCAGGTTGAGGTTCATACTAATAAAACGTTTGGTTACGTTACCTGTTCCAACCCGGATAAAAAACAATTTCGCAATAAATTTTGATTTTCCCACCTCAAGATATAATGGATATCCAGATATGCACAGTCGGCAACACATTTTGACTACAGTGAAAATTATGAATTTTTGCTGTGATTTATCAAAACCTTTTCCAAGACTCAGCAGCCAAACGTCGCTTTTACTGAGATTTCAGTCAAATTTGTTTGACAATAGCTCGGTTGTGCAAATCGCGCCAAAAAATTTCCGAGATCTGGCACATGTTGACTTTGGTCCAAAAATATTCAGAACGTTGGTTTATGAATTCCGAATGCAGGATTCATACAAAACCATTTTTTTAATCAAAATTCGTATCAAAAAAACTTGAATGTGGTGATTTCCGACGTTTCTTACTTATTCAAACTCGGACAAAA